ATCAAGAAATTTTATTTGGGGGATTTTAATTGTTAAATAACAATCTTGTAGTTTAAGTCGAACACTCATTTTATTTACTATAAGTATAAATATAGATACGTGTACCATCAAATTTAATGAGATTTCGTGCATTTTAATTTAAGTTCAACATCTATAATTTATGGAAAAATAATTTTTTTGGTCGAAATATTGATTTAAATTGAACTTTTGCACCACATTGCATATCATTTTGTTGGTGAGAGCTTATCAAATAAACATTTTCTAAAGAAAAAATATATAAACTTAAAAATATGTTATTGCACAAAAAAAAGGTAAAAGGCCAACATTAAAAAATGTAGCAATCCAACTAAATACTTGCTTTTATAAATAACTAAATAGATTTATAATGAAGAGACCGAAAAAGTAAATTATTATAAATATTTTCAAAAGCTTATCCATAAATTTAAAATACAGGGATTGTTAGTATATTTTTTAATAAATAAATAATATTATTAACTTAAGTAAAAATACATATATAGGAAATAAGTTTAATTATTAATATATTGTAAATATTTTTTACATTTCTATACATATATTATATTATTTTCGTTCTATATATAATAATTTTTGTAATAAGTTTTAACTATTAATATTGTAAATTTTGTTTACATTTTCTATACATTTTATAATATTTTTCTTTTATATATATATATATATTGATTATTTAAAAAAAATCAGGGCCTGGCCCTCATCTAGCTCCGTATATGCTCACGAAACAAATTTTGACTTACCAATAATTTTCAATCATTCAATATTTATTATAATTCAAATTTGGCATATCTATTTTATTTTCATTCATATATAATTCAAATATTTTGTGTTCATTTTTTTTTTTTAATTTTTTCATTATTAGTGTTGAGTGAGAATGTGAGATAAATTTTTCCAAAAATTATTATATCCAACCGGGTCTATAACTTTTAGTTTTTACTAAACTGGATTCAAATGGTAAAGTACATTATTCAAAAATAAAAAGAAATTGAATGGACAAAAGAAAATAAAAGAAAAATCAAAGTAGTTTTTTTTTTTTGGATTGCCCTGGTGTAATTTAAGATTTACGTACTTTTTAGGAGTAGTAAATGTGTGCAGTAAAAATCATCTTCTAGTAAGTACTATTTTTACTGTACAAGTTGTTGGGCATGATTTGACTAGTTATTTTACGTATTTGGTTTGGAGAAATGGCTTCTATTACGAACTATTCCGTTAGACTTGTAACTTTAGATCATCATATAACTGTCAAAGATAATTAATCTAACGGTTACAAATTTCGACGGAATAGTTTCGTAACGAAGCATCTCCCTTTGGTTTGAAATTAATTTACTTTTAAAAAAAAAAAAATAAATGAGCTTTTCAAATGACGTATTATTCAAGCATGAAAAAATAATTTATTTTTTTTTAAATTAATGTTTCATAACTCATAAGTACCAAAGCATTGGCATTATTGAGTTAATACGAACTGAAATAATTGTTTCGAAATATGCTTAATGGCAATTAATTACATGAGAATTTGAAAATTAATTAATACATTTTGTAGGGACTCAATTGCAAAATATAAAAAAGACAAAAAAAAAAAATTATAAACATAGAGCTAAATTAATGAGTATCTACTTTTTTTTCACGACAGAAATTACCGTCCACACCAATGATGTAAAACAGTAAAATTAATAACTCTAAAACATTGGGATAGTTATATTTGTTTCAACATAGACCTTTCAAACTAGGGTAACTTTAATTAGTGTAATAGATATATATATATAGCTTATACATCTCTCTTTATTTCAACCTTCGGGGAGACACACGTACTTTATAAGTATATATATAGAGATTAATTTTAGATCATATATATACTATTGTACATTAGGGTAAAATAGGAATGTCACACATGATGTCATCATCCCTATACATTGTAATTTACATTGCTTCATTTCATTTTTTTTTTCAATATATAGTCAATTTTAGAGTTGACTTGAAATATTTCATGATTATACTTAAAAACATTGTACATTAATTGAAACTTAATATGGTAATTGAATTTTGATTAAAACCATATACTTGAAATAATCATATTGTACACTTATTAATTGATGATCATCATGATGATAATCATGTAATTAAGTTATATTTATAAGTTAATATTGAGAAAACGGCTATATCGA